CGGCTGTGGGGGGCGGGAGGGGGAGGGGAGCCAGGGAGGGAGGGGAGCTAGGGGGAGGGGAGCGGGCTGCCCGCGGAGCCGTGACCCACCCCGACTCAGACGGCAATTCTCCCAAGTTCTTTGTGACACAAAAGGTAAACAGAAGGCCTGGCTTACCCCCCGCCCCCAACCCCATCTCCCCTCCCCTCCCTCAGCCAGCCAGATGGGCCGGCACACTGCGGGGAAGGGAGAGGGGGACAAAAAGGGCAGATTGTGCAAAGGAAAACAAAAGAGACACAGAGACATCAAGAGACAGGAAATGTGGGGAGACAGAGAGGGGGGGCGGGGGGGAGGGCGTGGTGGCCTCAGCAAGTGAGAGCGCCTGGGAAGGGAGCAGAGAGGGACGGGCCCAGTGACCCAGAAGTGCCAGGGAGAGACCCTGAGCGCAGAGCCAGGGAAGAGGAGGCAGGCAGACAGGTACAGAGACAGAGGGCTCAGGCAGACTCAAACTCTGAGCGACAGACGTGAGGCTTGGTGGAGGAAGGGCTGGGCGGTCAGGTGCAGATGAGAAGGTGGCGTTTCTTCACCTGCCCCTGCAGTGACTGCAATCCCCTCTGGAAAGCCGCCCCCTCTCTGGCACTGGGGATGGGGCCAGAGCAATTCTCCAGCCGGTCCTTCCCCTCCCTGGTCCTTCCCCTCCCTCAGTGCCAAGCCCACCCTCCGACCTGGCCCCAGCCCAGCCCAGTACAGCAGGGCATCCTCCTCACCTGCACGGCAGAGGCCGACTGCTTGCTGTCATTGTTCCCTGGGGAGCTCAGGCCCGAGGCCTGCTGCAGCAGGAACTGCCGGGCCACTTGGAGAGCCTGCAAGACAGGGAGGAATCAGTGCTCCGGCTGCTCCAGCAGACGTGGGAGGGCAAGGGTCAGTGCAGGATTCTGGATTCAGGGAGCGTTTGGAGAGGATAAAGCGGAGGAGGTCAGGGTCATGTAGAAGGTCTCGGGGATGAGTGAGAGGGTCACAGGGTCCACCTGGGCTAGGGGATAAGGATAAAGGTAGGAGTCACTGAGAGAAGCTGCCAGGCTTTGGGGATCAGAACCTGTAGGGACTCACTCTGGGACCTGGTGAGGTTTTGTTGGGACTCAATGGGGTCAGCAAATGGGTCAGTGGTCAAAACAAGGACCCAGGAGAAAGTACAGTGGTGGACTCAGGCTATTAATAGTAGGTACAATTTGTCGAGCATCTACTATGTGTCAGGCACTTTACAGGCAAGATGTCATTTAATCCTCTCCTGGGAGGGTGTGAGGTAGGGATTATCAGTTCCATTTTGCAGATGAGGAAACTGAAGTTAAGTAATACGCCCAAGGTCACACAGCTAGGAAGCGTCAGAGCCAGGATTTGAGGCCAAGAAGCCTGGCTCCAAGGCCATCTGCCTTACTAGGTGGTGGGTCTGGGGGCTATGGGAGTAGCATTCTCTTGGAGTCAGAGCACACAGTTGGGGGGATGAGGGTGGAGTCTCAGGGTCTCAGGGTCTGAGCGCTACGTGGCTTTACGAGTCAGGGCAGGAGGTCTGGGAGCAGGGCCTTGTGGCACTGGGGGAATTGGATCAAGTCCTGAAGGGAGTGTGTGAGCTATCAGTGAGTTACACTGATTGTAGTGGTTGGGGCTTAGAGGCCACGGTGGCTCAAACTGGACTCTGAGCCGGTGGGATCATGAGAATGGGAGGTTCATGGAGTCTGCAGGAGGAGCCTCTCCGGCCAGGCAGTGGGCCTAGGAGGTGGGCGGACGAGCAGTGAGAGGTTGAGTAGGAGACAGAGGCCAGGAAGTTCTCTGTAAGGTCAGCCAAGCAAGCCCTCCATCCCCGGCCACTCCAGGTCAGTAGGGGGCTCAGAGGCCGCCGGGGATGTGGGGACCTGTCCTGAAGCCACATTTCAGGAGCACAAAATATACCCAGGTTCCTCAAAGATCTCCTTGGGGGCCAGAGCAGTTGTGTCCAGGCCTCTGACAGGGGTGCCTGGCACCAGGCAGACCTGGGTTTGAAGCCCGGTTGTGCCGCCTACCGGTAGTGTGACCCTGGGCAAGTTATCCCCTATCTTTGTGTTCCAGTCTGCTCTGCAAAACTGGGCCACTACCTAACTCTGAAATACGTGCGGGTGGGGGTGGGGTGTTAAAGGACCAATGCTTGGCACTTGGTCGGCATTCGAGGAGCAACCGCTTCCTTCCCGTATCCTGAATCTCTCACCTCCTCCAGCCTCTCCCCAGCGCACCTATTAAATGCAACAGGCCACCTGTGGCTTCCTCGCACATCTATCCACACACACTTGTCTGTCCTCACGTGGACTTCCACTCTCCTACCCACCGCGAGCACCACCAAGGCAGACCTATAAGGTGGGACACGGATGCACTCAGAGCCCCCCACCCCGCCACTCAGCACTTAGGGGGCGCCCACTGTACACCAAGCATATATACACACCCCCTTCGCAGCCCTTTCATTGAATAGCTGAGCCTCCCTGAGGCTTAAACCTAGTTTACCTTAGGACAGTACCTAAATACACTCTGGTGTATCTATGGGAGCGTGTCCCAGGGCAGACCTGGCGTCCAGATTAGCATGCCCCTCACCAGCGCCCCAGATCCTACTGCCTCTTCCACACCCCTCCTCCCCGGGACCTCACACTGGGAGGAGTGGCCCGGGGTTGCTTCTCTTCAAGATTCACATCAGAAAGTAGAAATCTGACCTGAGTCAAGGGCCCTGGGAGGCTGTGGGAGGAGGTGCAGGGTGAAGTAGGGGAAGGAGGTGGCCAGCTGCTCATCTGGAAGGGGCCCTGCCTCTATGTGCCTCCTTTTTTAGGGACCTCGCCCCCAGGTCTAATGACACGGGCTGGACAGATGCCCTCTGTCCTCCAAAGGCAGAGATGGGGGAGAGGGGTCAGAGATCAGGGGGCAAGGTGGGCGAAGAGGATGGTTCAGAGGGGCTGGCAGCCCAGGTGACCCAGAGGGGATGCTGGTCAAGGTGGGGGGAGGGAGCTCCCCCAATCCCTGGTGGGAAGAGGGGAGCCACAGGGGAGGGTTTTCCAGGGGAAGTTGGAGGGAGTCCCGAGCAGTCTCCTGGTGGGGGGAGTGGCCTGGGGGGCTGGATTCTCTCCCCACTGACTCACTTACTTGGTGGTCCCCTGGAGCATGAAATTACAAGATTTACAGGAAAAAAATGACAGGGCCTTGCAATCTCATTCCTGTGAGACCTCCCTGCGACAGGCCCCACCTCTCCTATCACTCTGAGCCTTTCCTCCCCCGTTAGGCCAGGTGACAGGCGATCAGGTGAGACTCTAGGCCTGGCCAGGTTGTCACCTCCTCTGACCTCCCACCCTTCCCCCCACACTCCTTCCTTCCGTTTCCTACGTGCCAGGGACGGTGCTAGGTGCTGGGGATACAGAGAAACAGAACTTGGCCCTGCCCCAGGGCTCAGGGCCTGTGCTGTGATGAGACGCCCGTCACAGACTGAGGTGGAGATGGACACCAGCACCGGGGCCCAGACGAGGTGGCAACACTGACTGGAGGCTGCAAGGGCAGGCTCACCAAGTGGACAAGAAGCGTGAAAGGTTCAGGGCGTTCCAGGCGCAGCGACCCTCGTACCACAGACGACTGAAATAGCTGGTGAGTCTGGGGGCCTGGAAACCACTTTCAGGGACAGAAAATTGAGCTGTGTTGGAGGTCAGTAGCCAGAGAGGCTGGAGGAGCCCAAGGGGTCTGCTCCTCTAGGCACTTCATTCATTCATCCTTCACTCATTCCTTCATTCACTTTCACGGCCACCCACCTCATACTGGCTTGGAGAAGAATGGGAGGTGACAGTGGGCAGCACACGCTCATTTCATGGACTTTGCTTACAGCCCAGCCTTGACCCAATTAGGGACTTGGTACCACCTAAAGATCATCCTATAGGTGCCCAGGGGTGGGGGTGATGGGCAGACCCTGGGTTTGGGGCCCAATCTCCCCTCCCCAGATGGCCTGGACATGTCACTGACTGCTCAGTGCCCTGTAATGCTGCACCATCCCTCACCCCCACCTGGACCCCTAGCCAGGGATGGTGCTCTGGGAGGAGGGGCGGGGGAGGCCCTCTGGCCTAGGATGTCCTCTTCCAGGGTGGTCACCCAAGGGATCAGGTAGGTCTAAGACTTTCGAAAGCCCTATCCGAGTCACAGTCGCCACTCTGGCACACCAGGCATGTGTCTGCACTGCCTGCCGTGGCTGGGGCCTGATACACGGGGTTCAGTTTCTCTTCCTTGTGGGCCAGATACAGCTTTGAGTAGGAAGAGGCATCGAGAATCCCACCGGGTAGAAGGCATGGGGGTGCTCAGGGCAGAATGGGAAATTGGGAGCCATTTGGCCTTTTATACCTTATTTTCCTGCTCCCTCCACCCCTCAGACTGAAAACCAAATGCCCAGCTCTGTGGTTTGGGGAATGAAGTCTAGTTTTCCTCTAAAGGAAGCAGGACTGGTCCATTCAGGGCCCGGACCCTGGTCAAAGGGATCTGGGTCCAAATCCTGGCTCCACCAAATACTGAGTGACCTTGGGTAAGTCACATCACCGCTCTGAGCCTCAGTTTCTTCCTGTGTAAAATGGGAATAACCCTGTAGTCAGCTCACAGGTTGGCTGTGAAGAATACATGTGACAGTGTACATGGAGTACTCAGCACAGTGCTGGCAGTGGGTCCTGGACGGACATCAACTCTTCTGATTGTGATTACTGATCTTTCACCTTCCCAGGCAGCTCCTGATCATTTGCCCAGTGGCACCCAGAAGGACTTGTTAACCAAGCCCTTTTCTGTCTACGCCCCCCCATTCCCCCTCAAGCCTCAGAACTCAGTCTCGCTCATGAAGCCGAACTCTCCCCCCCCAACCGCCCATTCAGAAGTCGTTAGCAGGAGCTTCACAATTAGCAACAAATGGCTTATAACGGATGGCATCCAGGGAGGGCGGCAGGGCTGGAGGGGGATGAAGCTAGTGCTCTGAGGGCAACAGGGAGCTGCTATGAAAAGAAAAACAAGTCTTGGGGCAGATGCATCTCTCATCTGCAGGATGAGACTACACCCTCATTTCTGTCTTGGAGAAAATTTGGGGGAGGACCAGCATCCTCTCTGTGGAGGCCAGGTGCAGGGCTGTTTACTGGTTCTTTCTCCAGGCTGGAGGATTCCAGGTCTGTGTCGGGGTCCCAGCCTTACTCTGTGCGTCTGGGAGGGCGGGGACGTGGTGCTCAGGGAGAGGAGCACGAAGGGCTGAACTTTGAGAACAGAGAAGCAGAGTCACGCAGGTCACAGACCTGGTGAGCTGGAGTGTTAGAGGGTATCTAGTCTAGTGTTTTCCTAATTGCTGGTCATGAGCTAATGGTGGGTCATACAATATCAATTTAGAAGGTCAAAAAAATAGGAAAAAATACACACACACACACACACACACACACACACACACAGAAACATCAGAGTTACTAGGTAAGCATACGCATTGTTTCGTGAAACTCTTGTGTGCTGCCACTCCAAATAAAAGGCATTTCTTACGGCAGATCTCCAGCAAAAAGGTTTGTGAAACACTTGTCTAGTTCACTTTATCGATAAGGAAACGGAGATCTGAAGAGGGGCAGTGAAGTGCCCAAAGTCACACAGCGGCAGAAGCACAACCTGAGTCCCCCTGGGCCTGACACGGGGCTCTGCACAGGGCCGGGGAGCCAGGAGCTGGGCAGACAGGATGGAGGAACCCCCGCCCCAGCAAACTCTGGTCTAATCCCGATGGTGGTAAAGAGCAACCAAAATAAACAAAACCCAAACTTCTTTTGTCTGCATCTCGCTAATTTTGGCAAAACTGGGATCTCAATTG